TTTGAAGATTCGGATGGAAAAGTTTTCCATAGTTCGAAAGTGGGATCTCTTTGGATCCCCCGAAGCGAATCCGAGGCCTCACGAGAATTTCTTCTGTTCGTGGACACGGGAATTCAATTAAGCTCCCTTTCTCTAAAGTTTGTCATGTACGAATACATCGCCAGTTGAATTTCTTTCGATCGAAAAGTGGAACTTGGAGTGGTGTTGTACAAAAAGCTTCATGCGCGCGGCAGATTCGCCTGTCCCGAATGTCAGTTTTAGTCCGTTGACGTCGTAATATCGTAACGGCAGCGTTATCATGCGTAACGAATTTTCGGCCCCCTTAATCCACGCAATTAATCATGATCCCCCGTGAGCGGCTATCGGCTTTTTCACGAAGACGTAAACCAAACTTAAGATTGTATTACGTGATCCGTGTTATTAATATTTATAATTTCCTACTTCCGTTCTCCAACTCAAAAAGTCGTCAGAGCTCGCGACGACGTCGGCAATGACGTCGCGTCAGATTAACCGGCGCATTATGCACGCTATAATGTAACACGAGTTGCTTTTATGAATAATGCATAGCCGAAGGAACAGCGGGAGCCTGTAGTGGAGCACCCACTTCAGATCAGCCAGGCAAGACAAAATTGAATCTTAAGTGTACGTTCTAAAAAACTCCGTCGATCCACTGCTCGCCGCCGACCCAGTAACGAGCACCGCCTTTTTGATCTCCATCCCCGGCAGACTCTATTACTATTAATTGTTAACCATGCGACGGAAGGATCGAGCACGCTCGATCGAGTACTTTTAACTCAATATCGCGCTTCGATCGAAACCCCGATGATTTGCAACTTGCACAGATTATAGTCTGTTTATTTTCTAATCTAAAAGCCGTGGCTTTCTCTTGAAAATTTGGCTCGTGGGCAACTGATATATTGAAATAAATATGCATATTTTCTGCTTTACGATGGTTGAAAAATATTAATAAACAATTCGCTGTATTAAAAATTTTCAGAATTGAAAATATTAATTTGCAAGTTAAAGTGTATTTACAAAATGTTACATTATTGCGAGTCACTTTTGCAGTATTGTTAAACAATTTTATAAGCTCTATGATAAATGATTTGTTCACGAGTGACACACCCGTCATGAGATTAATTAATTTAAGTACCATCCAATTATTTGGAGCTGCGTGGAAATTGTCGTTGGGATGACAGGGAGCGCTGTTAAATCCGCTCGGCTGGAAATATCCGCTCGAGCGTGCCGAATTTCTTCCCCGTAACGTACCAATTACATGTTATTTAATTTATGTGTAACACATGTAAGCGCGTGATGTACGATTACGCCCCGAATTTACTCACTTTGCTGTGCGTACAGTCGCGCTCTCCTGTACATATATATACTATAACAAATATTTCTGGCCGTGTAATTGCATGTCCAGTTTTCCAGAATTGTTATTACTACGCATAAACATCGAAAGCCGTATTTACATGCGCGTTACATCTCTCTCTATTTCTATCTCAAGTCTATTTTTAGCTACAAGTACATATATCAAATGCATCAACACGTAAAACACAAATCTCTCGTAATACGTCGATTATACTGGTTGCTGCAAAGTTTTATTCGGCCATTTTCTCGCGTCGTGTTTTTAGACTCTGCTCATTTCTAAAAATTCACGCATAATTTACAAAAAAAAAACTTTTTTAATACATTAGGTATAATTCAAGAAATCTCGAAGTTTTTTTATAAAGCAAAATTATACGGCAATTACATATCATATTTTCCCTAATGTGTTACTTAGATTGTTATTCTACGCAATCTCGGCTGATTCTTCGCCGAGATTGACCGCTTGAGGTCACAGATTTTGCGACATCCTGTATAATCGTCTGCATATAACTGTGTATATATAGATTGTATCAGCCGCTATTTTCCGGCTCGAAATCTTACCCCGTCACAGTGAGCAAGATTAATTACGTATTACCCGTTATCCTGTCAAGACGCGTCGATTACAGCCGGCTGGATGATTAATCGATCTGGAAATCGAGCGCTTCCCCTCCGTTAATAACTTGCAAAGGTTCTTCACCGCGTCCATCGAAGTTACGATTTCACTGTCAATTCGCATTGATTAATTGGCGTCCAACAGGTACGATGATCGGCCGTAAAGGTCGCGCAACCGCGCTACAGTCGCGCTGCAAACGCGCTACAGTCGCGATCGCGATTGATCGCAGCAAAAAAAAAACATGACGTAAATATTCAACGGCCTCAATTGACATTAAAACGATGCGAAAATGACAGTGGTGAAAATTCATGGAAATGCAGCATTTTTTTTTTTATAGTCAGTATTTGCGAAATTTAAATAACAAATCCAGCTCGTATCACCCTTTTATGCCAGCTTTTTACGAGCGTGAGAGAGATCATCATCTCTATCGTGCTTTACAGTATAAACTTGTTTTTATTTATGGTTTATATTTATGGTTGCGTTTTAGAAGTGTACAAACAGACAAGTTTTTTTCTAAATCTGGAAAACTATTCTCGAAGTGTAATGCATTTTGAAAATAGTTGCTAATACAACGTGATCTTTTTTTTTCCCAAAAGCGATCGATTTGCCGAAACTGATTCGAGTCCTGTTCGGAGGAAGCAGACGACAATTCACATGTACATATATTTAACACAATATGTTTGTATATTTTGTATTATAAACACGTCGAATACACACTTGTGAAACGTCCCGTAGAAAATGTCTCCCCCTGTGTAAGGTAAGAATTAACAGATGTACAGATCGTTTCTCTTTAATCCCCGGCTTCGTTCCACCTGTTACTGAACGTTTTGTACTCTCGTCGTTGGCAGCATAGGGTACAATGTTCAAAAAGACACGCACTTATCTCCAGAACACCTACAAATGTTTACAATTGATTTACATGTTTACGCAATTATAAATTAATCTTTCTCAGTTCTCTAGATAAATCCCGAACTTCGCGACGATTCGATTGGGTATTGAGAAAATATTTGTACACGTAATTCTTATTCTCTCGCGCATAGACACCCGTTATGGCGAAAGCAATTTGACGAGAAATGATTGCGCCGAAAATCACGTTGCCCGCAGGCGCTCATTAGTTTTCCGCTTGTCGATCGGTGGGAAGCGCGCGAGACTCGCTCGTACGCGATTTTCGTCGCTCGAGCTTGAACGCATTCGGATCCGAATTGTTTTACTTCGTGCGAGGGAATATGCACGTGATATGACGTTTGCGAGTTACTTCGTTTTCGTGATGCACACGGCATGCGCGTCACTTCGTCAATTTGCAGGCTTTCCCGGGGGTTATTGGATCAATGGAAAGCTCATCGACATGGCTGGCAGTGTGATATATATTTCTTCGAAAATCGATTAATGCGCGTCGAAAGATCGAATAAAGAAGATTAGATCGCGAAATTATATCGATTAGTGATGGACATGTCGATCAGAAAGCGGCAATTGCGATGAAGTGCCTGAACTTACTGCCTATTCTTAATTGCAAAAAGTAGTATAAAATAATAAAAAGAAATCTCTTTCTTTTGCCATCTGAAATGATATACTTGCAATCATGCTATTAATTATAAAAACTATATGCGGAAATCATACAGTAATAAATGATAATTACAATGAGCAGTTTTGAAGCGTAAAACTGATAAACAATATATCGTAAATTATTTCAATATGCCAGAATTACTTTTAATAACATCTCAGTGGATAAAATTCTAAGAAGCTCATCATGCAGCGAGTAGAAATTAGGAAACGTAGTTTCGTAGAAATGTAGTTCTTTATTAATGCTTCATTTCCACGCCCATCCACACACACATACATAGATCGATAGACCGCGACAGTAGACGGAAGTTTCGAAGGAGTCCGTAGAAAGCATTAGCATAGGCGTGCCTAGCGTGCAACAATGTAGTGTGTGCTTGTGGTTGTGGATTTCAGCAGGCGTACAGTCAGTACATCCCGGCTACAAGGGCCCAAGTATCCGGGGCCCAGGGTGGGCAGACGGGGGTCGCCATGGACGGCACTTACCTCGTCGAGGCCTCGTTCTGAAAGAGTCCCCTCGCGCACTGTAAACGACACTCTAAAACCGAAACCGAATCGGACCGAGAATAAAAGCAAACAAAAAAAAATAAAGAACGCAAACGAAAACAAAAAGCGGAAGTAACGACACCGCAAACGCGGTGTCGCATGATGTTCGGAGAACGATTGCAAAAATAAAAATCCGAGAGGCGCATTGGAAAATGCGTCGACAAAAAATAAAATAAATACGTAACGCTAGAAATACAAAGCTTTGCGAACGCATGAGGGCTGAGATATGCTCGCCTGTTGACGTAAAGCGGATGTAACCTAGAGTAACCAAAGTGAAGGTAAAAGATATATATATATGTATGTATATATATATATATATGTTCGTGTATATATAAACACGTGACCGACGTGTGAGAACGAGGGAACGGAAGAAAGACAGAGAGCGGCGATATATGTAATCGAGTAATCGAGCGAGTAATTGAATAAGAAAGAGTATATAAGAGTGTGTGTAAAGAGATATCTATATATAGAGCGGAAGTAATACGTATATGTGTGTATCGACTCGCCGGCCGTTCGCGAACCAAAAAAAAAATCCACAAACAACACAAGTAAAGACACACACAGTCGCGCGAAATCCACAAAGTCAATCAATCAAATTCTTCTATTTCATCATTTCCGTGCCATCTTCTCCGACCCCCGACGACGTCTACGATGACGACAACACGACGACGATCATGACGCCGGCGATTGGATCCGTCGACGACGCTTGGCGCCGCCTCATCATCCTTCCCTCTTTATCATCGCTCTTGGAACACGGCGGACGATATGTCAACGACGACGATAACGATGTCGGCGAAAACTTCGACGACTACGAACAAAAAAAAAAAAAATAAAACAATTTTACGGCGATGAATAACGCGATGAACCTCGCGTGCTAACGCCTGACCGAACGATCGATCGATCGAAAATCACATAGAGTCTGTCCTATCAACTAACTTCGAACGAGAGCAAGGATAGAGTGGTGCTCATATACGGCGACCGTATACAGGTGCGGAAAAAGGTAATGAAACCATGTTGCTCGACAGACAAATTATGGAAACGATGATGATAAATGATAATGATGATGTTGATGATGATGATGGAATATTACGTACATGTGATTGATTTATGTGTGGTATATCAAGTGTTTGGAAAGCGCTTTCGCGTCCTCTGCCATAACGTGAGCAGGAACACATCAGGACACCCAAAGCAATCCTCATTCCTTGCGGTGCTCGATAATACCTTTAAGAATCGATCGATGTCTGGATTAGCTTTCTTGGTGTCCGCTTTCGCCCTCGAAAAAAAGTCCTTCCGCTGCGCTTATTTAGGGGTTCTTGCATCCCTCGGAGACTCGTTGATGAGGTTGTGCATTTAGTATATATACTGTTTAGTGTGCAATTTGCTTCTTGTGATTCTAGATGTATAACTGCTTGGCTTTTTAGAGGGACGGGTGGATGCTTTTACGGATACGCGAACGATTTTACGAGTTAATAGTTTTTCTACACTGCCTGAGCTTTCAAACTTTCTACCGCATAGCTGATGAATTTTTGTAATTTGTACAGTTTACAAGTTTAAATATTATAGATGAAAACTTTCTCTCTTTTATATTTTATTATTTTCAAACACAAATCTATAATTTGTTATTATATTGCAGTGAAATATTTTTATCTCAGTCTTTGATTTATAATTTTTTGGTAAAACGCATGAAGCGCGTAAATTGTGCGACTCACAAGAATTTTATCTATTAAATTCGGGTTTGAATATATTTTCTACTTTAATTTTAGTTTAAAGGGGACATACTTAATAACGAAACTAAAACGTGATAAAACTGTGATTTAATTATTTTATCCACTATAAAATTTTTTTGCTCAAGCTCGAAACGGTTTGCGAAAATCAATTTTTAAATAATACGTTTAATCTTTTTATGTTTTTACAAATATTATAATTGTAAGTTCTTAATTGTGCTATCAAAGATTGATGTTACAAAGCACTACATTGTGCTTGCGTAAAATAAACATACATTCACCTATATTTCTTTTACTAAGCTAGCAGTGCAATGATTTGTCTTTGCTGATAATTCATATTAATAATATTAATACATATGTATATATATAAACCACGTATTTATGTGCAGAAGTGAATGTTAAAATTAAATAAATTTGATGTGACATTTGCAGCGTGACATCTGTTGATGTTTAAATACAGCTTTCCGCAAACATTATGACAAATCGAAATTTTTATCTCGCGCATGTGAACGCTGCAGTTATTAATTTAAGCAAAATATATCAGTGAGCTATGTATTGCACCGTTAGTTTCCGATGAAACGGCTATTTCCGCTAAAAATATTCACCGCGGAATTTAGGGCGTTTTACCGTCCCCGCCGTGAAGCCCATCAAACTTCGGTAATCCGATCTCGCCGGTGAATATGAAAATTGACGACGAACATCAGAGTTATGATGCACCGGCTTTACGCTCTTCTTTTTTACGGTACGTCAATTCATTTTCGTGCAATCTTTGCGGCTTTGTCGTGCCCTGCAACCTGCATCGCCCTTCTCCTTTTGTTTAAATTTTCGGGCACAAAACACGCAGCGGTTGTTAGGCCGAGAAACGTCACGGAAAAAAATAGCACCATTCTTTTTGAAATTGCCCTCGAAATATTTTTCGCTTTTTTTCAGCCTTCGGTCCTTTTTTGCTTTTTTTATTAGATTAGTCCGCTAGAATTGGATTTTCTCGTTTTTACACCTTTTTTTAAAATTTAGAACACATTGTGGCCGACGTAAAAATCCTGTAATATTTTTCGAGCTATTTTTCAAACGTCGTTTAATTCTTTTGGAATAAACTTCTTATTCGAACATACGTCAATACTCTGAAAGTAGAACAACCTTCATCATTTTGTAGTTTGCAAGTAGGAAAACAAACATCTTTTGTAGGTCATCTTGTCATAATTAATAAACGTTTTTATGACGAATTCTTTGACAAATTTGTGATCAATTTCATTTAGCTAAAGCTATTAATATAAAATTTTATTAAAATTGAATATAATTTTATTGCGTGAAATTTAATAGAAACGAATATTTTTCATCCTTTTCTACTGTAATTTTAACTTATGGAACTCATTCTCTACACTTTTATTTAAAAATAGTTAAATCTAATTGATCAAAGAATATGTAAATAGAAAGCATCGCGGAAAACCCGAAATCCGTTTATACAATGTTGTACTTTCTATTTACTTGCAAATTGCAGAATAATATTTGTGCTTCTAGTTTTGGGGTATCAATATTTTCTCAAGTATATGAATATACATTTGAGTAAAGCCGCTGGCTGCGCCCTCACAAACTATCTTATTTTTTTCTTTTTGTTTTAAATAGAAACTCTGTTGGCGGAAGGTTCGAAAAGTGTGTTATAGACATAAAGAACCGTAGAGAGAAACAACAGCTACGAAATAGGTCGTTAGTTTCTCTCTTTTTTTTCTCCTTTTTTTCTTTCTCCGTAGTTTCACGACTCTTTTTCGAGGCGATCTTGAAAGGTGATGGCGATTGAAATATAATACATGTTCCGCATCTCTTTCGAGATTTTACGGTCTGAAAAATATCTTTTCTGTCAAATACTTACTTCTTTTGCTTTTATTTTCTCTTTTACATCTTTGCGACATACTACATATGCGCGCCACGTAAATATTTTTTCAAACGTTCCGCAAAACGAGCGATGCAGGACAATTGTTGTTGCAACATTTGCATTCTCGACAAATCTACCCGCATGCTGTATCTACTCTTCTTCGAGTTTATTATTTTATCGAGAAATTTGTTTTGCAAGTAAATAAATTTGACCCAAACGTAACAGATTTTTGCTGTATATGTTTCATAAAATCGTACTGTCAGTGTTACATAACAAAATAATTCTGAAACATCTGGCATATATAATTAATTAAAAGTTGCGTTTTTAATTTATTTTTATCTTTTTCGTTCTTTTATGTTTTTATCTAATGATGCAATTAAAAAAATGGTTACTTTTAAAGTGTGCACATTTTACGATGCAGGTTACGAGCCGTTGCATTAAAATTACAAGTGTTATGTGACGAACAAAATTATACACAAGCGAATTTGTCATTTTTGCGCTACAGCTGGCGTTTAATTCAAAATAATTAGAAATTACGCATAAGTGATTATTAACAACTGCGTACTTTGTGCCGAGATTCGGGATATATTTTATATTATTGCCATAGAATTACCGGGCATGTAATAAAATAAATTAGAAGTTAATGATCGAGTTGAAACGGAACAGGCACGTAGGAAACGAAATAAAAACTAATCTATCTAAAATAAAAACGAAATAAAATTTATCTTATTTGCAACGATAATGATATTTTATGCGAAATGTAATTAGACGTTCACAAAAGTGATTATCAAAGGCAAAAACTGCGCATTTATTTCAGTGAAATCTACTATCGCTTGCTTGCAGCCGCGGCGCATTAACCAAATCCTCGTAAATGTCTACTAAATTTCACATAAACCCGCCGACGCGTCAATAGAACGAATAAATTTAGCCGTAAAAAACATCTTTACGGTCGCCGAATCGAATGCGTTTAGAGACGTGACGTAAAGTTTTGTTTAAAATTTCAAATGCTTATCCTGCGAATCTTGATTAGATCATCAATCTTTTTTTTTATGCTTCTGTTTCTAGTGAAATATAGTTTTCGTATTAAATCTGGCACTTAGTTTTATTAAAGAACGTTTTTAAACAAATTTATGTTAAAACTAAAGTAACGTTAAAAATAAATTTGTTACAATTATCACATTTAAATTATCGAGACATTACTATTTGAGATGTATAAAACAAAAAATTCTAAAATGTCGAACAATTTAAAAATTTAATGCTATACAAATTTCTTAACATATGTAGAATCTTTTATTCTCATGTGAATTCTTGCAAACTTTTGATTAATAATATACGGTATAACAGTAAGCTTTATTAGTAATATATTGCGTTTATTATACGAAGAACATTAGAATAACTATAACATATCCAGGAATTATATGCAAGCATTTAGTTGCATTTAGTACGCTCGCATTGCATTTATTGATCGTGCTCTTAGCATTTGCATTTACACGTCATAAATTTGTTTTCCGCGGATTATATTGTATTGGTATTACTGCAGATTATGTTTAATCACAATTGACAAATTATATTGTGCTTATATGAAATGTCTATATTGTCAAATCGTATAAATTGCAATATATTTTATGTATTGAGATACATGTATGCATAAAGTTATTTAAATTTTTTTTCAAACATTTTAATTGTAAAATAACTTTTATTTGTTTCTTCTCTTTCGGTTTCTCCTAATGCATTGGTAGGGCTTTACAAAGACAGCTTGTATATGTTTTGTGTACATGTACATACCTATGTAATTATAATTATTTTTTCGAACATTGAAATGTAAGCTACTTTATTTTGTGTTTCTCTATTCGACGATTCTACATTTGCGCGTAAAATTTTAAAAGAATTTCTCAGAGAAGCTTCTCCATATTTGATTTGTTTTTACATTTCAAGCGCTAATGGTGAAAATAATTTAGGTCTGCGTAGTTGTCAAAGATTCATAAAGACACCCTACGCTAGCTAAGTTTTGCTGCGTTTATTAATTCATTGGATATTAGAAGAATACATCTCAAATATTTACGGACATTTACGTGCCGCGAGAGAAATGGGACATACAAATAGCTTTGTTATAAACTTCATTTTTATTTAAATTCCAATAATCTCGTTTCTTTTCAAGAGAAATAACGATTTGTTTTACGTTTAATTTGACATTTTGGTTTACACAAGATTGTACTATGTGTGTTTGTTATCATTTAATTAAAAAAACATATATGTGGAAAAAATTAAACGATAAAAATTATTTAACTTTTTCTCATTTTGGGAAAAACTAAAATATTAATTAATTTAATTTGATTAGATTGTTATGTCGAATAATTACTGAGTTAAGCTATGATTGAAGTTAACGTTAACAAGACCGGTATTATTCCAGTCTTAAAAATAAAAATAAATAAAATGTACATAATTAAAAATATATATTTTATTCATTTTTATGCCATAGAATTTTATATCATATTATTTGATAAACTCGGAACTTTATTACGATGCAATAAAATCTTGTGTTTTAGAATTCTAGACCATTTCTTTGATTAAAATATAAGATTTTTCGATGCATTGCAGTAAAGTTTTAGCTCTGCCAAATGATATAAATTTCTAAAATGTACATTAATGTTAAAATATATATTTTATTCATTTTTATGCTTTGGAATCTTATATCATATTATTTAGTAAGCCTAGTACTTTCTTGCAATGCATTCAAATCTTATATTTTAAAGAAAGAAATGATCTAGAATCTAGAATGTTAATGTCTAGATAGTTTTACACAATTTTTATTGTATTGTGTTTTTATTGTAGCACACGATGTAGAATATTTTAGATTACTCTGCAGAAAAAGAGCAAAATTTTTAAAATTTTATAATGAGAAAATATAATTTATATTACTACATTGTCGCTAGCAATTACTGTTTAATAACTCTCTCATTTACTCTCTGATTGTCAGAAAATTCATCACTTTTCTAAAACTGCTGCTCTAAATTTAGGCGCGTTCTTTGCCATACTTAAATGTCACAGTATAAGTTGTCCATTCAATTCACGCGCGTGACCTCGCGACACATCACGATTTAATGAACTTACGCGTGCATGCATGCAAGGCGCAACTGCACTGCGACGCTGTGTGGAGCCTCGCAGTGGTGGAATTATTAGGGCTTGTCGTGGAATTATTGGGCCGGACGCTTAGCCGTCGCCAGATCGCGAGGGGTCGCACGTGCGACAACATGTCGTTGATCGATCCGTGCTGCCTTAAATTCGTTAAGAATTTACTGCATTGCTGTTTGCGTGAATGCAGTCGAACAGCAAGCCAAACAGCATTGAGTTTTTGTGATTTAATGGAAAGAGAATATTTTTAGATTTTTAATACAGTATACGTGTTTAACGTTTATATGTTATGTTAAATAATAGTGCTGTTATTTATTATCATCAAAAATCATGATATATAAAAATTATTGTAACTGAATATTACAAAACTGAAAGCAATAATTTTTTTTTTAACTACGCAAGAGGATTGGGAAAAAATAAATAAATGAATAAATAAATATCAACTAATGCACAAAATGCATTTAATGGATTATTTTTATTATTTTTTAGACAAATTTTATTTTTAAATGAAAAATAAACTTTCAATGCTGCATAAACTATAAATTTGTTTTTATATAAAAAAAAACATGTTATTAAACAATAATAACATTTACTAATCCAGAAATTGAAACGTTGTAGACCCGATCTTCCGAGGCATGTATAAAAATATTCATTTGCATATCTATTCTACATAGATTTTCTTTCTTCCCCGCGTACGTGCCACGTGCGCAGTATTTTTAAACATTTTTACCTTGCAACTAAGAAAGTATGTGTGAAATTAGGATATGGGTCAAAATAAGCTATGACGTAAATGTACGTTTCTCTCTATTTGAGTCTTCTTTGGAACTATTTACAACGATGTAACATATAGATTATGTTAAAAATGTGTGAGATTAAATATAGAACAAAAGCATCAATTATATATCTACATTACGGTTGAATTAGAAGATCGGTTGATTTTGATTAATTTTTAAATTACATCTATTTCGTCTGAGAAACTTAAAATAGGACGGAGAGAAAGGAATATATTTACTTTAATATACTAATTTAGTATAAAAAAATTGCTTGTTGAAACAAAGTACCATTGCAGCTTCAAAAAATAATTTTTATCATTTTTCTAAAATTTTTGGCATCCATTAAATTTCGCATTTTTGAAATAATTTCTTAGACATTTCTACAATCTCTGAATCTTCTATAATTTTTTCGATATGTTTTAAAATGTAAATTTATGTAAAAATCTTGAAAAAAATTTAATTAAATTTCCACACAAATTTTCCCGAGACTTTATCTTACATACAAAGTAAGATAGGAAACGAAACGTGCGGTAATTAATTATACTACACTTTATCTCTTTCTAATTGATCGTTATCTCGACATACATTCACGCTAGCAATTGCGAAATCGATTTGCGATTACCGCTACGCTGCACTATTACTAATAGTATAATTAAGCGTCTACGATAAGACTGATCTGCCGTTATTAATCACGGAAGACGTGACTCAGAAAGTCACGCTGGCGTTAAGTGCGACACAATAGCCGCTATTTTACTGCGATAAAGTTCTGTGAGATTAACGCTTTAGAGGATCATGCTGCCAGGACGAGCCGTAAACTTAGAAACAAGAGTAAAGTATGATGATTGCTTGATGTAACTGCGACATGTTGGCGATTGTTTAATTTACGATCTGCTTGACAATCTGCGTTTGTGAGAAGCACGTCGCATGCGACTGTCAAAAGCAATCGATCCGTCGCGATTCTATTATCTTCTAAATTAAACGCAGGGCCGATCCTGCAGACGTCTCAGTTTCGGAAAGATGCGACACTTCGCTCTAATTGCTCTTACATAAGACGAGAGCAAGAAAATTGCGGTAGTTACACTGCATATATCATTAATATTTAATATCATAACTTGAGAAAAACGGCATGAGAGATAATTTATAATTATATGTAAGTTACGTTTCAAGCAGAAATTTATCGCATGTTCTATTTTTATACGGATTCATATAAATCTCTCTGTTTCGCACGTGTTGCTCAAATATTATATTCAAAAATTCATATTGAGAAATGGATTTATTAATTAATTAAGTTTGCAGAAGTATTTTTAACTCTCTTTAATCTGATTTAGTACGATAGGGCTTTCGTGTAAAGATAAAATGCACACGTACATCACATACATATCAATATCATTTCCTCATATCGCCTTTGAAAGTTATTTATCACTTTATCTCTGTGTCACAAATATAAAGTTTAAAATTTTCAAAAGATAAGGATACATTTTATCACCAATCTGTAAAACGAAATCTACATTATTTTCGAGCACAAACGAATGTCTTCATCCACTTTAGGTTAAACTGTGCGTTTGAGTTTTGATTCGAGTAATACATGTGCATATCAAGCACTGAACAAACACGCCGTTTCGGCACCGGCGAAGCGTCTTGTTTCGGCCCTGTGCACACTGTTTGCTTCCTTCAATCTTCATGTTCTACGTAATGGAATGTACTGTTCTTGTTATTGTTGTCATTGTTGTTCTTGTTACTCTCCTAATTATGTTGTCGTTGCTCGCATCCCAGTTACCTCTCGATTGTTTCCGTCCTCCGTTGTGTCTGTCTCTCGTCCGTCGCATGCTTCTCTTTATGCACGCAATATTTTCTTCTCCCCTCTTCCCGCATCTCTCAATCACTCATCGTTCCTTCGTCTCCTTGGGACGAAGGTCATCCGAAACTTTTCCCCTCGTCCTCGGGAGATTTACTGCGGGCTCGAGGATCGTTCGAGAAGTCGATCATCAAGTTCAGCCGCATTAATCCATTCCAATTCATGCCGAGAGTCCTCAATAGTCAAAATTGGGATATAAATTCATACGATTTAATGCCTCGGCTCGGCTGTGGTGTCAAGAAAATTTTTTTTTCCCGAGGAGGACGAGGAGTGAAGGGAGTGTGAGGAAGAGAGGGGAGGGGGAGAGGGTGAACGTAGTGTAATTGCTTAGTTTGGATCTAGAGGCTAGAAACTAGAGGACGATTGAGAGCTAGAGTAAAAGAGCGGTGAAAAATGCAAGTGTGAGCGAGAAGATGCGAGAGGAAGAGAGAGAGAGAGAGAGAGAGAGAGAGAGAAAGAAAGAAAGAGAGAAGGGAGAGAAAGGGAGAAAGAGAAAAAGAATGGAATTAACGATGAAGAATAGCTGCGAGAGGGTGGGCGATGGAGGGAGAAAATTCAAACATGTCCGAAATGCCACTTGTTCCAGGACCTAAAGAAGCGCGATTCCCACATCTGCGACATGCAGGCCCTACAGCCACTTCCGGCCCCTACCAACACCGCCAACACCGCGCCCGCCATGACTACTTCCGGTGGGCAGCCACCGCTCCCGGTATCGGAGACCGTTTGAATCACGACGATCACGAGAACCGATCACGATCGTCCGCGTGTGCGCGATGCGCTAGCCACGCATTACCACACCACCACTCACCTATAAAACTCACCGCCGTCCTCCTCCACACCTGTGCTCGCTGAACCCGATGAACGAACCACGGCCGATCCACGGTCGAAGCAACGGTGAGCCATCAAATCACGATCTTTAAAGGGCGCAGCGCGAACCACCGGAAGTAGTCGTGGATCTTGTTTAGCCCGTGCTGCGCGAATTTTCGATTATTGCACAAGCTTTCGGAAGTCCCGTAAGTGAGAATTGCCAAGTAATGCGTACGCGTACGCGCGCGATCGATACAGTCCGTCCTAAAGCTTGCATTTCTGAAAATTTTTCTGTAACGTTGAGAGAGAAAGAAAATTTGAGAAAATTTCTGTTGAATTCTAATTAGTTAAACTCGGTATACAGTGCGACAAAATTTTTAAAACTTTGGAATTTTTGAATATTTTTTCGCATATAATATATAGCAGTGATAAAATAATAAAGTTTGACGCTTTTAATGAAGTTACCGAGATGTGTTTAAAACTATTTTTACTATATTTCACGTTTAATGTGTTATTTAAAAAAAATCTATTTAAAGGAGTTTATTTTGCAGTTAATTTTATTTTCGAGATAACGTCGTTTTTCCTGCATTGTACACGTACGGGGTTTCAGAAATATTTGATTCGTTTCGAATATACTCTCGGGCGTTTGCTGGCGCAGCTTCGTTAAATTACGTGCATCGCGATTGCAAGTATATCATTGATTTTATACGCCACTGGTTTTGCTTACAGAATTTATTAGTATTACTTCCGGCGATTTGCGCTACATCCTCGAGTGTCGATCGATTTTTATATCTCAAGAAACTTGGTATGATGATTGAGATTCGGCGAGGTTACTCCAATTTTGTCATTAAAATTGTATTATGGTTAATTCGTTTATAAAAAAAACGGCTTTTTTGTTGATTTTTTACTACATTTATTAACAACTTTTTGTTACATTTTTCACATAACAATCTTAACATATCTTATCGTTTGTTTATTTTCTTAAAATATTTGCAAATTTGTTAACAAATATTAAATTGTTTTGTGCAATTTTTTAACACAGTGACATACGGAGCTTTTCACATAGAGTTGCTATTTTTAACATTTTCCCACCTTTAAGGACAGTCTTTTTTTTTTATCACGACAGCGAGAAGAGAGATCATGCCGAAGAGCAAAGCAATCGAATCGTTCGGAGGTGGATTGGCGATCGGGATTAGTTGGGAGGAAAGGTGATTTATGATAGGCCGACGGGCGTAAGACAATTTTCTGAGATTACGTCCGCTTCGTTTGCCGCCTTGAAATACGGCGTGAAGCCGAGGGCGGGCCGTTCGCGGTTCTGGGCCGCCGGATGAACCCAGAGTGCTGGCAATTTTTCCGGATTTGCGTCGGCTTTCTCCGACGCGCGGCCTAGTTTCGACGGAGACGCTCGCTGAATTGAGGTACGACAAAGCAATCTCCTACGGTGAACTACGGGCGAATTCCCAGTGACATGCATCTTATAAGTGAATTGGGTAATTGAGAAAGCCCACGTGAATTCAGAATTTGAGTCAGCTCCAGAGAAATGGGGAATTTATACATACATCTTGCATCCTTCTCGCCAAGGCGCATTATTCTAAGAAGCGATCGTACAATCTGGTGGTCTTACTTCTCCGTATTACATTTTAACGACAGATTTTTTTCAGTTGATACGACTTTTCGTTCAGCAAAAATTGCCGTATTTGACACTCTTACGAATACCGATGTAACTAGCACGATCTTCTCTCAATTTCAATCATCATACATCTCGTTGTGTATTTTCACGAAACGAATGATTCAGGACGAACATTATAATTTAAGATAGCGTTGGAATTCTTGATTTAAACCTTAATCCTAAATTCACCACGATCGCGCTGCTATGAACCATTCGGACCTTTTAATTGCAGTAATAAAAACAAGTCGTTCGCACCGATGCCATGCGAGATGGAGATCGTCATCAGGTTCAACGGCGTCCTATCCGCGATTTTACGAGCGGATTGATACGCTCCAATAAGAACGCCGGCGATCATTCGTTACTCGGCGGGATTTGCGGAGAATCCACGAGGAAGGTCCGGATGTCCGTGGATGTCCTTCGTGATCTTTGCGATCTATGCCGCCGCGGATCGATTGTCGTCGAGAGGATCGACACGCGGGACATCCTCTGTGATCTTGTCAAAGCTCGCGCGGATTTCCGATTTGACAAGAAAGTGTCTCGCGTTAATCCTCGCTGCTGTCCTCATTGCAGTCGTTGCGCACTGGATGGATTTCTGCGGGAGGAGAAGAGAGAGAGAGAGAGAGAGAGAGAGAGAGCGTCAAGTCTTTTCTGCGAAATGCTATTCGTGGCGTTGTCCAATTAGCTGAATTAAAGCGCGCCAGCGATGAGACGAGTTCGCAAATAGGTGACTCAGGTGTGGCTGAGCGATTGCGATTAGGGTCGCGGGATTTGTCTGTGCGAAAACGAGTCCTTGAGGGTTTCGCACCACGTTACTTCGCGTCAGGCCGTCCTTTAAATAATGTTCTTTCGGTGATCCTTAAACGGAGAGAAGAGAGACGTATCATTTACTATAATTGTTCAAATAACAAAAGGGTTTCATTAATCACGTCGGAATGAAAAGTTTCCCTCTCGTGCCATAACGGCGACGTTACTTCTCACGTAAAGCTCACGGTTCTTGATACTTATCTTGTTAATTAATACAATTATCAATATGTATGAATAATGACTGTTAAGCTGGAATTCATATTTAGATGCAATTATTATCTTAATGCAATTATTTGATTCTCTTCTTGTCTTTATATTGAATACGATCTTTGTATTGTACGATTTGCGATTAGGCATTTAGCGATAAATGAGGGAAAAGTATTAAGCATCCATTCAAGGGTTACATTACTCCAGAAAAGCGCGCTTAAAAAAATAAAATTCTATGCTAATCAAGATTATTATAGAATTTTGTGACCGAGAGGCGCTCTTAAAGAATGAAACTCTGAAGTGCCTATCCAGTCTTAGCAAATTATATATAAATTTAATTGTTTTTTAATATGAATTATATATGTATATATTATATGTACTAATCATTAATGTGAAGTTAAATGAATCTGATACTTTTTAATATATTGTTTCAAACGTTTCTATAATCTCAAGTAATCTTAAATAAAATTATATATGCGCAATAAAATGTTTATTGCACACATCATGCATCTATATTTCTATCTCGCTATTTACTATTTCTGGGCATTGTTTATTAACACACACACGCACACACACATACAATAATATTATAATATTTTTAAATATTTTTATAAAAAATATAATATCCGCATATAAAATATTATTATTTATTGCATGACTTTTTTGCAGATAATTATTTGATGAGTTACTTTATGAAAAAATTTTCACAGCGCATTGTTATTTATTTGACGTATCAATATACTTTGATAACAAAACCCAGAAACAGTACGAAGTCTGGAGAAAGAGAGACAGAACATATCAAACACTACAAGCGCGTGGGACGCATTAATTCATAAAAAAGTTGTTGAGGGAGAATGTAATTAATTAAATCTGCTGTTTTCAAATAATTAGCATGAAAAGCAAATGGATTATGATGAGCATTGCAGAAGGAAGATTGATATGGAAGTAAGATTTTTATCGTTTTGATAAATATTTACTTTGATCTATCGACTTTCTCATTGAATTACATAGTTTAACAATGTGTGATTACAATATGTATCCGTAAGATATTCTGCTTTAAAAGTTAATTTTACTGAAAGCTCTCTTATTTGCATACAATCTTTATTCTTGAGTTACTGCGGGATTAATCTTTTCTCATTGGTATGCACTAAAGATTTTTCCATAAATAGGTTACAGAGATTGTTGTTACGTCGTTGTTGTCCTTTCTGGTAAGATTCGTTCGATACTTTGTCTTATAAATTCGTGGATAATTTGAGAATGGACGGGTCAACATAAATATTGATTCATCGCAATTCTCGCGACATGGTTTCTTTTTTTAGAGACCAACACGAAAGCGAGCATTATTTGCGAGGCGATTTGACGCGACGTAGTCAAGATGCGATTACGTGAATGAATATAAAAATGGAGGTAGGGACCTACGTACCTTTGTACTTTTAACTAACTTAAGATGATGCCCTCGTTCTTTCAAAGCTTCGTGGCCGACTTTAGTCGATCGCGAGGACTCTTAGGCGGTAATTAATTAAATCGAAATATCGTTCGATCGTTTATTACAGTTACTTGGCTGTAGCGATCGATCGTCCGCTTTCTTTTGTTGTTCGCGAAGGAAACTTTCTCTAAAGAGCTACAACTTCATTAAAAAGAAGCATCTTTTCTTTAATTTCTTCCGTTTCTTTGAAACAATCGCGACTCTTAAGAGCATCTTGTACTATTCTGTTATCGTGAGACCAATGCAAAATTTATATTTAAATTATTGGAATAACTTTGGCCACTAAAGCTTTTTTCATTTAGTGTATACAGCGTCAGAAAGTTTTATAGTTTTCTATTTATTTTTATGCATTACAAATTATTTATTAATTATTAATAAACTGAAATTATTTATTACTTATAAAAAAAATTCCGTGACAAATTTAGCAAACTTTTTAAAGCATTTTAAGAAATCATCACATATTTATGATGTCAAATGCAACATCATCGGTCAAGTTAAAATGTTTCACATCAAGTAAAGTTACATAAAATCACATGATCTTATTACATCGCGGACGATTGACCGATGCAACCGGATGCGCCGCAGAAAAAAAGGGGAAGAAAATAGAGACACCGTGTGAGCAACGGGATTTGTCTAACGATTACGTAGCGCAATGTAAATATCTGTGAAATCTAGGAAGGAGGGGGGAGAGGAGAAAAATGCAGAGCCTGTTGTCTGTAACAAATCTTTGTAATTACTGGCGTGATACGTCGTTGAACAAAAGATTAACGAGAAGAATATATAAATATGTATAGAAAGATTATATTATATAACAAACGCAAATATGAAGAAGGAAATATATTATATATAATGAGAATACGATATATATATATATATACATATATATATACACGAACACACACACGATACACGCACGTGAAGAGTGCACTTACATTACGATGATACACACTCACACCTACTTGCAGCACCCTTGCGTCGCGCAATAAAATAAATTCTAAATTGTTCCGTACTAGAATGCGTGCCTGAGTGCGTAAGAAGCCAAACAAGGGGGTAAAAAAAGAGATATATATATATATAGATAAATGATTATACAAATGAAGAGATTGATAAAAATAATGCGTCCGGTCTTACGTTGTCCAAGAAGCACCGGTTATATTTGAGATAGCGTACGAAAATGCAGCAGTTTAATTAAGGAACAGAAACGCGAGCTACATGGAAAAGAAATATTGCAAGGAACGTTGCATGGATTTTCAGGATTAGCTGTTAATAATTAACTTCATCCGTCATGGACGATCGTGCGCGCGCGCTCGCACGGATTTCTCTCGTCTGCATTTTTAACAATAATTTATTTATTCGCGGGATCTTATATGCTTTTCCTGCGCATGTGCCAAACTTACAAATAAATACAGTTACTTTTGAGCTTCGAAAATCTTTAATGACTTCTCTTCAATAAATATCACAAATTTTAATTGTCTCTCAATTTAAATAAAATTATAATGGCGATATAATACTTAATGTATGATTAATTGTTATATTATTTCTGGATTCGCTTATTGAGAATTTATTGAAAATTAGGAATAGAAATTGAAGGCTTGTGTTAATAAATAATCTTTTTATCAGCGTTAATTATAATTTGAGCGTGTTAATAATTTAAACTCATAATCATGACATGCACTTTACTTTTTAGAATTAATTGACGTTGTGTTATATATATTATAAATTTTAATCTATTAAACGATCTATTTGATGCCTACGGGATGAATTTTCGTGTAAATCGATATCGCGAGGACATTGAATTACTTCGAATAATTTTATTATCGTGTTGACGTAGTTTAGACACGACATCAGAGAGATTGACGACGCGGTGTGTCGCGAAGTCGATCGTCCAGTGAGCTAGCCTGTAATCAATAAATAAATCGTAAGTTAAGCGTGCAATTAAGAATTTTAAAAAAATCGAATAGAGACTTTTGTTGGTGTTGTGACTCGTAGTGCGTGTGTCTGTCCGTGTGCGTATACATATGTGTAGAACCTATGCACCGAGATAAAATTTCGCGAATTTCAGGAATTTTTCTGAAGCAATTGCAATTACAGCTCACTTTCTTTTAATGTAATATAATCAACATTTTTATCTAGGTATATAATTTCTGAAAAACATTTAAGAAATGTCCTGTTTTTTATTTTGATGTTGCGTTTTCTCTCATAATTTTCTGACGAAAATTTATCTTTCTTCAATTTTTATGCAAATATCTGTAGACATTTATATCGCAATTGATGTTAAACTTGTAAAACTCATTTTTACCGGGAGAAAAAAATAATTTTATTTCAACTTGAAATTGATTTGGATTCTGCAAATTCGCGAAACATTGTTTTATTGGTGTGCAGTGCGAAAAAAGCGCGAATGAACAGTGAGTAGCATGACTTACAACAGCGCTGCTGTAAACTTTCAATGGAGGTAATAGCAGCGACAGCAACAACAGAAACAGGCATAACAAAAGCAACAATACGAAGCAGACCGAAGAAAAAAAAAAATGACAAATGAGTCTTTCAATTTACTACCGTACTGCCAATATTTTCCGAAGTGACGTAATAACTTTAATAAAGATGTTAAGGCGAAATGTAAAAAAATACGCGCTCGTCAGGAATTTTTCCTTTCGTTTCTTTTCGCCGCTCCGAGCTCTCGTGATCCCACTCGGAGGGAGAGGACATTTAGAGGGGTTTCGATCCACGTGTTCTCGAAAATGGAAAGCGTCGGAAGATACGAAGGATGTAACGAATTCACGTCGCTCAGTCGAAGTCTTCGAAATAATAAATATGCAATTGCTATATCAAAAATATATCAGTGTTATATCAGTGTTATTTTCTATATTTTTTAATTAAAAGTAATATTTATTTATTAATTTCTTTTGTAAATTGCTATTAGGGCAGAAAAATAAGACAAACATTTATGAAATATTACAAATCTTTTCATTATATTTAAAATTTTAAATTTTTTCTCTATTTTTTACATATCTTGTACCTTTAAAGAAATGTAAATTTCAATGTTCTATGTCATATATGTAAATCGACTTTTATCTTAAGGACAGATATATCTATATGAAGATTTATGAAACATTTCTTATATTGCTGATTTAAATTTGATCAAACTGCCGAGTTGCTGAGCGACATAAATTCGAAAAACGACTAAAAATTCTATTTTTCTTTTACACGATCTTCAATCTGAGTTTGTCCAATATGAGTATTTTATTTCCAATATAATCTTCATAAGATCGATGACATGATTAAATTTTCTGATACGAAAGATTTCCCGGGGCAGCGGAGGCTAAATTATGTTTCGCTTAGTAACAAAAATGAACTGGCGAGAAACTCTTGTGTAAATATGACAAACAAATGAGTATTATATATAAATATCTCTGACGAAATGCCATATGTCTTATAGCAACGATATATCTAGTATCGTTGAATTAGGGAGGACGTTCATCGACTTTTTTGTAGGTTATATGAAATCCTTGCGTGTGGGATCATAAATTCAGGAAGGACTATTCTCACTTAATACTTCCACGAATGAAATTACTCGACAAAAAAATGTTTAACTAAATGGTTAAATTATCACAATAATTAGTATCGATGTACAGAGTAACATGCTGTCGACGGGAAGCTGGCTTTCCACGGTCCACGAAGAGTTGACGAAATAATTAATTGCATGGGGCGGTACACGTAGCATAATTTATAATAGACTAATTAAAAGGAACTGTGTTTAGCCCGAAATTTAACAAAAAGTTATCTTGACGTAAGGAATTAATTAATATAAGACACTTTGTTTTTCCTATAATTTTATCACCTCTATGTATGCGATGCATTGCAATTTTGTACTATATTATTATATATAATTGGCATGTAGTGGATATAAACACAGTGAAATATCATAATGACGTTTGCAACTAGCGTTCGAGGCGTGTATCATCGACGGGGAGCGATGAACCTTCGATCTTTTGCGTTCGCGGACGAAAATTCAAGTTGAGAGGAAGATATGAATCTGCTCTTTATCTATTCCTCGTACGACATAGTTTCCGACGCACTATTTTTAGATTTACGAATGCGATCGCAATGATTATATTGTCTCTCTCCGATCGTAAGCTC